ACAGTTTGATAAGTCAATAGAAATTTATACCACAACTTGCTGGTCATTCACACAATAAAAGGGAGCCACTTAGGGGGTGGGGGAAGGAAAGGGGGAATGCATCGTTAACAGGAGAAGGCATGGAGGACCAAAATATTAAAGAAATTGTAATGCTCTGTCACTAGTAAAAAATGGCCACCGTGGATTTCCAACAGATATTTTTCCTCTGCAGAAGAAGGAAGCTGGATGTAGAGGTACTCTGAGTACTCTGTGTAAGCGGGGGAATGGTCCCGCTATTGTGGGGAACTTTCCTGGCTTATATACCACCCCGGTGAAATGGACCAGTGAAAGGATCTGAGTCCCCGCTCCCACTTCCTTTACCCCACGGCTTCCCTGATCCTGAGGGCTCCCCCTCCACTCTCCTGAATAGCAGAGTCCTCGAAACCCCAACAAGGCTGGGCCCAGGTTTCCTGGGGCTTAATCCCCGACCTTGTAGTCACTAGGGGCAGGAGTTAGGGTGTCCCCACTCCGAGGTGCTCTCTTTACACTGCAGGCCTTCTTGGCCCAGTGATGATTTCATCAGGTTCAAAGAAAATACAATTTATTAAACATCAACTGATTAAAGAGAATAGAATAAGAAACAATGAGAATGGTTAAATGAGAACACACAGCCCTGCTCTGTAGCACAGGGACATCAACACAGCAGTCTGCAGAGTGTAAGGACAGTTCACAGTCTCTTCCTTAGAAGCCCTGGATGTGCTGCAAGGGGCTGCAGGCTGGACACGCTTGCACTGGCAGTGACCACACAGCCTCAGTCTCTAAGTGGCCAGACCCCTCTCCCAGTCCAGAGCCTTTCCCCACACTTTGCAGGTCCCAGTAGCTCACCACATCCAGCTGCAGGCTGTGCTGCTTGGCCAGTTCCAGCTCCTTGTGTTGCTTCTCTGTTCCTTTTGGCTTTCTGAGCACTGCCAGTCTGCTGCTCAACACAGGGTCTGCACTGCTTGGCCTGTCTGTGTCTGGTTCTGTCGCTGCAGGACTTCTTCTTGTACTCCTCTTTCAGATCTCTGTCTTTGCAGGACCTCTCCTGCACACAGCTCGCTCTGCTCTTTCAGCTCCCTGTTTGCTCAGAGAGAGCCAGAACAATCCCCACTTACAACCTGTCAGTCAGGCTGAGCTGGAGTGTTGACTGCTTTCCATTGTCTCTGGGGTCTGTCAGTCTCATGAACCCTTCCCCTTCTGAAGCTGGTAAACCAAAAACTCCCACAGAGTTTTAGTAAGGGGGTAACAGTCCCCTTACACAAGCAAGCAGGGACACCTGAGAAGTGTGTGTGTGTGTGTGTGTGTCTTTAAGCACAGGCCTCAGACAGCCTCAGGCTGCTCCTTAAGCTGTGTGTGCCTGGCTCTGCTGCTGCAAAACTGCCTCTCCACACAGCTTGCACTCCTTGGGCTGTCTGTGTCTGGCTCCGTTGCTGCAGGACTTCTTCTGCACACAGCTTGCACTACTCTTAGCTGTCTCTCAGCTCTCTCCTTGCTCAGAGAGACCCAGAACAATCCCAGCTCACAGAGAGGACGGGGCCTGGCCTCTCACTTTTCTCACTGGCCTGTCCAACCTGTCAATCAGTCTGAGCTGGAGTGTTGGCTGCTTTCCATTGTCTCTGGGGTCTGTCAATCTCATGGACTCTTCCCCTTTTGATACTGCCAGCTGGCAAACCAAAAACTCCCACAGAGTTTTAGTAAGGGGCTAACACTCCCCTTACATCTGTGAAGCAAGCCCTCCTAGAAACCCTCTGTCATCGGGTTTGGGATACAGTAAAACTCCAGTGGACCGGCATCCAGTGGTCCGGCACTCCTGATGGTCCGGCACCATCTGGAACCTGGAAGTGCTCCAGGAAGCCGGACAATTGGAGCTGCTCTGCCCCCGGCTTCCCCGATTCAGCCGCTGCTGAAACTTACTAGCGGCTGACTCAGGGAAGCCCAGGGCAGATGAGCTCTGCCCCCGGCTTCCCCCAAGTCAGCTGCTGGTCAGTTTCAGCAGCAGCTGACTTGGGGACACCTGGGGCAGAGCAGCTGGGGTGCTGCCAGGTTGGTCCCGCAGCACCGAGGGGCGCATCCCCCCCTTCCGCTAGTCCAGCATATTTGATAATCCGGCACCCTCTGGGTCCTAAAGATGCCAGATTATCGGAAGTTTACTGTACTTCTGAGCCTGCCCTTCACTCAGAGTGAACACATCCCATACCAGCCCAAGAAACTGGTCTGGCCAACTCTCCTGTTAGCTCAGTGATGGGCAACCTAGAATATTGAGTGGACTGCAAAAGTGGCCCTCCATCTCAGTGAGCCTCAAGATTGTCTTAATCAAGATGGTCTCCTGGGACAGGATAGTTTTGCTAATTGTTCCTGCATTCCTTGAATTTGCCATTTATAAGCAATTGATGTGTGCCAATTGAGCTGCAGTAGAACTTTGAATGCGAAGGCAAATGGCCTTGAAAACATATTGCAAATAAAAAATACAGTCATGTCAGTAAAATAAGCTACAAAATTGTAGCAGTGAATTTGAGCACTTGACTTAACTTCTGGAATTATTTTGCAGGATTCCTCCATAATGGAGAGTGGGAATACTCAGGATCAGGACGAAGTTCAGAAAATGGACACTGGGAGAAATACAGGAAGTCGTAACAATTTGGTAACATCCATATTAAAAAAGCTCATGTGCATCATGCCAATGTTTTGTACCTCACACCTCAGTTGTTCTGGAGAATTAACCGTTTCCATTACAGTGGGATTGCACTAGCTCATCTTAAAGTCTTGGAACAATATTGTCTTGAGGAGATAAAAAGATAAACACAGTGTGGGCCAATGGAGTGGCAGCACAGTTCAGAGCTACATGAAGCATTTGAGGTGTGCCTTATCAGCCGAACAAAGCCCTGTAGAAAGCATTTTATTCTAATAATAAATTCCTGAACTCCCCCTATAAAAGACAGTCTTTTTAAAGTAGTCATCTCACAATGAATATTGTCTTCCTCACTGCCTCAACTGAAAAGTTCAGCCAAAAAAAAAAAGTTTTCCAACAGAAATTTTTCTTTGCAGGAACAGGAACCTGGATGGGGAGGTGAACCTACTTCCAGTCCTCCCAAAAGTCATGTTTCTGGGCAGAGTACCTCTGGCCCATGGCCACTGGGTCCTGCATTTCTTTAAGGGGCAGTGAGCATTGTCTGAGGTTCTTTGCTCAGTGCCCCCCACTGGCTCCCGGCTTTTGACCCTGCAGCCCTTAGTCCCATCCATGTTTTTTTCATTTGTTTTCCCCCAAATTCCCTTGAGACCTGGATCCTATAGCTTCTGCCCTGAAGCTGGGGGGAGGGGCTCTAGATCTGGGTGGGCCATCCACCAAATGCTCAATAGGCACTGAATCAAAGAACTAATTCATTATTTTGAGGTTAGCTATCCCTTACTACTGGAGGCCATTCAGTATTGAATTAGACCTTTCAAACTACCTTTTCAGAAGGTCAGTACCTCTGGGCCAAGTTCACAGATGAATCTTAGTGCATATGATTTACCCACCTTCTGTCCTCTCAGGCTATGTCTAGACTGCAGGCTTCTTTCGAAAGAGGCTCTTTCGAAAGCATCTTTCGAAAGAGCCTCTTTCGAAAGATCGCGTCTAGACTGCAGGCGGATCTTTCGAAAGAGAAATCCGCTTTTTCGAAAGAGAGCACCCAGCGAGTCTGGATGCTCTCTTTCGAAGACGGCCTCTTTACATTGAAGAACGCCTTCTTTCGAAAGAGGAGCTTTCGAAAGAAGGCGTTCTTCCTCGTGAAATGAGGTTTACCGCCATCGAAAGAAAAGCCGCATTCTTTCGAAATAATTTCGAAAGAACGCGGCTTGAGTCTGGACGCAGGGGAAGTTTTTTCGGGAAAAGGCTACTTTTCCCGAAAAAAACCCTGAGTCTGGACACGGCCTCAGTGTGTATGTTAGACCAATTCAGTCTGGCTACGTCTACACTGGCGTGATCTTGCGCAAAAACTCTTTAGCGCAAGAGTTCTTGCGTTAAAGTAGTTGCGCAAGAGACTTCTACACTGGCATGTGCTTTTGCACAAGAGCATTCTTGCCAGTGTAGACACTCTCTTGCGCAAGAAAGCTCTGATGGCCATTTTAGCTATAGGACTTTCTTGCGCAAGAAATCCCTGCTGACGCGTCCACACTGACCTCTTGCGCAAGAGCTCCTGTGCAAGAGAGCTTACACCTGTTAAAAAAGAGCGTAGCTCTTGCGCAAGGAGCCGTCTCTACTATGCCGTACTGTAAATTTTCTTGCGCAAGAGTGGGCAGGCAGTGTAGACGCTTTGCGGATTCTTGCGCAAGAACGGCCATACTTGCGCAATAACCCGTTAGTGTAGACTCACCATCTAGACCTTTGGATGGAATGTGCGCACTGCAATCCAGGATACAATTTCAGCTCAGGTAAACAGCTATGCTAGTGGAACTCATTTTGTCCCTGCTAAAAGAACTGGTGTAGAAGTGGCAGCTTAGGCTAGTGATGAGATCGGATACTCAAGGACCCTTGTATAGCCCCGAATGAACCCTGCGCTGCCACTAACTAGATTAAAGCTAGTATGGGTATGTCACCTCCCACTGCAATGTAGGTATCATTAGCCTAAGTGTGACTAATGAAGTCTGTAGGTCAAGCTGTGCTTTTACTGAGGGATAGCTAGTGTGTTAGCAGACCTCCTGGAGACAGGGCAAAAGGTAAATTACGTCATACCCCAGAGGGGGGCATAGTGCTGATTTTGCCCTCCTATCACATAGTTACCATTGCGAGTACCTTGTTCCACTTGGAACTTTTACATTAAAGTCACTATGCATGCTTGCTGTCTCACTGTGGAAAAACCCAAACTTTTTTTTCTGTCAGTGAAGACAAAGCCTTAGGGTATGCCTGCCTCTGGAGCTGGGGGTGGAATTCCCAGCTCATGGAGCTGTATCCTGGCTAGCTCTGATTGAGCTAGCATGCTAAAAATAGAGTGTAGCTGTGGCGTCAGGACGGGCTGTCTTCCCAAACTATAAGCCTATCGTCTCAAACAATTATATACGCAGTCTGGCTATCCTTCCTGTTGCTCCAATAGTCCCTCACACCACTAGGACTATGTGCTATGTTTAATGTGCTAATTCAGTTATAGCTAACACAGGTATGTCTTTTTGGGCTGGAAGTTACACTCCCAGCTTAAACGGCAGATGTACCCTTAGACTCACAGCCAATTACTAATGGGTTACATGCTGATTCTTTTCATACATCCTCTCTGACTTTTCCCCTCTGTCTTGTGTCAGCACCATTGTTAAATGGAGCAGTTTGGTTCTCGAAAATGATGCTGGATAACAGCCCTGAACCTGCTTTGGGAGACCTCCTATGTGCTAATGTGAGGCAGATTTAGAAATTCCAAAATACGGTCACTAATTATTTTTTCCCCAGTCTAGTACAGAAACTCTTCTGCACTGAGGTCTGGACAGGTGCCACATTAGACGTCTTCAAATGGAACAATTTCTGGCTTATTTGAGACTTTTTTTTCTGAATTACGAAAGGAGATACTTCTCTTAGTTTGTGAACAATAAATGTAATTCCCCAACCCCGGACAAACCTCCACCAGCATCCCCTCATTGTGTAGACATAAAAGGAAAACATAAATTCTAATCTGTTTGCTTCTAAGATGTAAAAACACAGGATAGTCTGTAAACGTATTGACTGTAAGGCATGCTATAAAGTTCTACTGAAGTTATAGCCTAAGTCTGCTCCCACCAAAATTAATGGGAGTTTTTCCATCAACTTCAGCAAAAGTCAATCAAGCCATGCCTACCTGGCAGAAGAAAATTCAATGTTGTAGTTGAGATGATCCAATTTCATACAATTTCTAAAGGGGAAATGAGATAGGAAACTTTTAGATCTTGTGTGTATCTAGTCAGGGGTGTGGGGACTCAATCAAGGAGTGGACTGATGTGTGCCCCTAGCTACTCTTTAGTTTCTATTGCCAGTGAACCATCAATCAAAACATTTCTATTTGTCCTGAAAATGCAGTTAAAATATCACTGGCTGACCAGAATGTTGTGTTATACAGTCTGGCTTCTATTACCATGTGTGTTATTTGGATTACATTATTAGTCTGAAATGTATTCCTCGTATCAGAAGAGATCATAATGAAATCTTCACTCCAGGAAGTTAACTACCACGAGAGAAAATCTATTCAGAAACCACCTTGGAGAATGAATAAGGAATCAAAAATCTAGATTTAAATCACCCCAGCACAGATCAGCTAGTTACCTAGCTATCTGAGAGTTGAAACCTCACCTTTGTGCTGCCTTGTCTTCAATAACTATTATGTTATTGTTTTGGATAATGTAAGAGAAAGGGCAGTAATACAGGAGTCTAACATGACAGATGGATTCTTTAATCTCCTCTTAAATTTGATGCATTTTTTTATCCTTTTCAGAATATGGATTTGCAAGTCACCTACACCCAAGAAGCAGTTGCATTTTTTCATTTACATCAAGCAACCCATTTTGATGAGTTTGAATACCCTTCAGATCAATACTGCAAGCAGAACTTCTTCCCAAAATGGCACTTGCCATTGAAGATAGCATTGATAACCTCATTGCTAATATTTATCTATACTTGTCTGAGAGATGTCATCCACCCTTTTGTCACTACTAAAGAGAATGCTTTCTATAAAATTCCAATCCTGGTCATAAACAAAGTTTTACCAGTGGTTTCAATCACCCTTCTGGCACTGGTTTATTTACCAGGGATATTAGCTGCAAGTTTTCAGCTCTACTATGGGACCAAATATAAACGATTTCCACAGTGGTTGAATGGGTGGATGCTATCAAGAAAGCAACTAGGCCTCCTCAGTTTTTTCTTTGCCTCAATGCACGCATGCTATAGCTTATGCTACCCAATGAGAAGATCTTACAGATACAAGCTGCTAAACTGGGCATACCAACAGGTAGGACTGAGTCTAAATATCAAACTAAACTTCTGTTGTGACAGAGGCCTGCTCTCACACCTCAAATCGCACAGAGAAGCCTGTGGGGAGAAAGATTTTCATTCAGATCTGAAGTAGCCACCACAAAACTTTAAGACCTTATGAGCTGACCTACAAAATATATGTGGCTTGGGGTATGTTGAAGTGAGAGAGCTGACTCGACAAGTTGGACCTCCGTGGTCCGGCACCGGTGGGAACTGACCGGTTCCGAACAAGAGAATTTTCCAGACCAGGGGAGGTCTCCTGCCACCAGTCTCCAAGCCCATCACCTGCTTCTGGCAGGCTGCCCCAATAGGCACCCTGCCTCACCCATGCCCAGCTCCCTGGGCAGCACAAGCTCCAGCCTCCGGAGGCTCTCCACAGGGCTCCAGCTCCAGCCCCGGGCTCTAGGGGGCTGCTGCGAGGCTCCAGCCCTGGCCTTGAACTCCAGTGAGCTGCTGCGAGGCTCCAGCTCCAGCCCCGTGCTCCAGGACGCTGCTGTGGGGTTCCAGCCCCACGCTCCAGCAGGCTGCTGCTGTACTCTGGCCCCAGGCTCCTGTGGAGTGCCAGGAGACTTTGGCCCTGCCCAGCCATCCTCTCAGCCCCAAGCTCCTGGGGGCTAACATGGGGCTCCAACCTCATACTGGCTGCTGGAGGCTGCTGTGGGGCTCTGGCCCCGGCCCCGGTCTTTTGACCCTGTTGTCCTTAGGCTCCTGGGCTGTCTGGTCCAGGAGCATCTGTGGTCTTGCCAGACGACAGGTGTTTCTGAACCAGAGAATGCTGGTTTTTAAAGGTACAGTCTGTATTTGCTAAGGCTTGGAACCAAAAGTCCCATTCTCTGAATGTCAGTGATAGCTCTACCAATGAATCTCTGCATACTCTTGAGCAAGTCTCTTCTCCTGTGTGGGTTTGAGATTATTAGCCCATAGAACACCTACAATAATACCTGCCTCACAGGCAAATTGTTGTTTATAAAGTACTTTAAGAGCCTCCTCTGACTATCTATACAACTCCTGGTGCTAATCCTGATTCCCACTGCCATATCCATAACAAACAAGTGTGAAGTGATGTTAGTTTTAAGGTCCTATCTCAGCTTTCTGCTAGCAGCATGGGTGGGTTTGACACAAAGAGGGCAGGATGCATTCAGCACAAACTCTTAGCTCCAGAATTTGCTGAAACATCCTTGAAGCTGGCCTGAGTGACCTTGAAATTTCCTTGGTATTAGGTAGTGTAGTGCTGCTAAATCACTCACAGCGCCCAGCCTAGGGAATGTCCTGGTGTCCTAAGTGATTGAGGCTACACTGTGATGGTCCCTTCCTGATGCAGTGAGCCCTTAAGGCTGTTGCACACAGCCATGAATTAAAGAAACCCTGAGTATCAGGGCCTCTGAAGTCTAATCTGATGGTTGTACTCAAGGCAGCTCAATGGGCCAAGTGTAATTTAGAGAGTTAAATAGCTATCCTGGCAGGATAACAAAGTAATTGAGAGTGCCTGCTGATTAGCCCCTTAAAATAGTCCATGTTAATATATTTCCTGTTAGAATCCTGTTAGTATGGTATTTAGCCATAGCTGGAATTTTGTTTGTGAAAGAATAAAGATTTTCTTGCTGTGAAGTTGGATTACAAAGGCTGCAGAACAAGTCTCCTCCAAGGTGTTGCTCAAGTCAGTAAACACATCTCAATGTAGGTGATTTTCCTTCAGTGTATATTCATACAACCTTTGTTATCAGAAGTAAATAACCTAACAGCTAAATGCAGAGAATTGGCACATTCTCACTAGTAGGGCAAAAGCAAGAAAAAAGGAGTGAAAACAAAGCCACCGTCTATTATTTCTCTTGGTTTATGACTAAATCACTTTAATATAAATAACTACAGTTCTTGGAAGCTTCAGGGGGTAGCCAAGTTAGTCTGTACAGGATAAACTTAAAACATATTTTGTTAATCTATAAAGTGCTACCAAACCATTTGTTGTTTTTCAAGTTTACAGTTCTTGGGAACAGCAAGATCTTGTGTCAGTCTGTCACTTTAAATGTGATTTTTTTTTGGCAGGTCCAGCAAAAAAAGGAAAATGCCTGGATTGAACATGATGTCTGGAGGATGGAGATTTATGTGTCTCTAGGAATTCTGGGGTTAGCTATACTGGCTATTTTGGCAGTAACATCAATTCCATCTGTCAGCCAGTCTTTGACCTGGAGAGAGTTCCACTGTGTTCAGGTACACATAAATACTACACGTGACCTGTCCTCTATTAGAGGATTTTACATTATAAATTAAGATCAACAGCAATAGCCTTTCTTTAAAGCAGAGGTGGGGAACCTCAGGCTCAGGCCAGCCCCCTGCTTGCCTGGATCGAAGGCCAGGGCCTCCCCCATCATTGGGGAGCCTGCACTGGTGCTCCAGGTCCCCTTCTCCAGGGGCCATGTCAGTAAGGGTTTGTTTGGGGTTTTTTTCCTCAGTTGTGTGTGGCCCCCATCTGATTTTTCTGTAGATTGGTGGCCCCTAAACAAAGAACAGTCCCTCACTACTGCTTTAAAGTATCAGAACATCACAGTGTTCGGGGAAACCAATGTGAAAGTTTACCAAGTGACCTTTGCCAATTGTTTTGCAATAAACATTCTACTTTATTTGTTACTTGGCAAAAGAGGACTGACAAATTGGTGGACTAAAATGTTGAAGATTAGAGATTGGTAATGGGACAAGGAATGTCCTCTTACATGTAGGACACTCGTTCAGATGTCCCCAATTTGCCATTGTTGGTTATAAAAGGTCAGATGTCAGTTCCATGGTCTGCTGCATAAGAAATGAGATTCTGGTCTCAGTGTGGTCCATCATAAAAAACACATTACAATTTGCACCTTCATTGGAGGCTTCATTAGAAAGCCAAATATTAGAATGATGTTTAGAATGAGATTCTTTTGAATCAAGAACAGGATAAAGGTATGTTGGCAAAGGAGCGGAGAGGCTCTGGTATTGTCACTTCCTATGTCAAACCATTAAGACCAGAAGCTTCACAAGGGTAGCTGAGTTAGTCTGTAACTGGAAAAACTTAAACAATGAATCGTCTTACAGCACCTTAGAGACTAACAAAACACATAGATGGTATCATGAACTTTTGTGGGCAAGCCCACTCCAGGAGCAAATCCATTTGCATTGTATAGGGCACAAGGTATGAGGTGGGGAAAGTGGTGCTAAGCATATCTGCTCCACTAATCCAGAGGTCGGCCACTGACGGTAAAAGTCCCTTAAGGGTGACTCTATGGGCCAAGGACCATTCACAGGAAAGGCATTTCCATCATACCGTGGTCCATTCCTACTGGCCCTGATGTACCCTCAGTATGTGGGGCTGGGAGCAGATGGAATACACCTGACCATGCCAGTTTTATGCAACATGGGATTCCATTACACTAACGGAATTATCTGTTGTCCCCTCGGGGCAGCTTTCTACCAGCTTTATGCAGCTTGTGCAGTACAAAGCACCAGAAGGGAGAGCACTTAGCCTTTAGCATAAACATAAGCTTTCACTCTCCCTCTCCAACAAAATAGGTATGTTCCAAGAAAATGAATCTAGCTGAAAAAATCAGAGGTCAAATTCTGCCCTTAATTACATCCAACCAATCCTATATGGGTACCAATCTTAGCATCCACAAGTGTTTTCTTCAGCCACCTAGGCACCAGTTTAAGGGGCTGGGATTTTCCTCTGACTTGCTTTACTATTAATTCATAAAGACTCCCCTGAAGTCATTGAGGTTATACTAGAGTAAAAATGGCTTAATAGAGTAGTGATTCACTCCCAGAGCACCTAAACATGAAAGTTTGATTGCCTATTAAACAATCTGGGGTATCATCAAGGAGTATCTCCTGACAGCATAGTGACAGAGATCGTATATATTGTAATATGAGAGGCAATCAGTTGTAATGAAAATTCTCACATGTATAGAGAGTAGTAGAGGTGATGGGGAAGGGCCTCTATTTCACAACTTACACTACTCATATTAAAACTCCATTGCCCCTTTTTACCCAACCAGTAAGCCAAGATTTGGGGTCTAGTAGAGAGTTGTTTTTAAGTAGAGGAGAAATTTGCTGATATATTGATGTTTCTCTGACACGATTCTGTTTATTTACAGAGAATGTACATAAAGTCCTGAACATGATAGGAATCCAATAGCAGGAAACAGTTTAGTTTCTCTCAAATTGAGCCAGAACTTACCTCCAAAGCTTTCTCAGGGATACATTCCCGCTACTTATTCTGTACCCTTGGCCTTCTGCTGCTTGTGTCTCAGCTTCTGCATTGTTTATCCTCCCCTCCTGCTTTTATCACAGACACACACATTTCCACTAAAACAATATGCAGTGAAACCCCCTCACCTATATGGCTGTGGTTTTCCCCTGACTAGCATGTGCCTTTGTTTTGGATGATGTTCCTAGTGTTCCCAGTTCTCTAGAGGAGCTCAGCAGCTTCTTACTCTAGGGATATAAGTGACTAGTTGACTATCCAATAAGCAAAAGCTTATTGGATAGTCGATTAGTCACTCAAATAGTTGCTTCCCCCCGCCCCCGCGCCTTGCTGCTTCTATCAGAGGCAGCAAGAGGGGGGAGCAGGAACCAGTGTTGCAGGGAGCTGCCTTAAAAGCCAGTTCTCCCTAGCACCGTCTCCGTGGGGAGCTGGGGAGGCAGGGAGGTAGCGGTGACCGGGCGCGAGCTAGGAATCAGATGATTCCCAGCTAGCATCCAGTCCCAGATGCTGTGCCTCTGCTTTTTAAATGTATTAAGAGCCTGCTGTCTCTTAATACTTTTAAAAATCAGAAGCACAGTGGGGGTTTCGGTGTGAGCTGAGACAGCTGATTCCTGGCTCGCACACGGTCCCCCGCTGCGCTCTTGCCTTTTTACATTTAAGGCTGGTGCGCAGCAGGGGGACCTGGTGCAAGCCAGGAATCAGCTGACCTAACTCATGCCAGGTCCCTGCCACTGCATTTCAGCCTTTTAAATGTATTAAGAGCTGACAGGTGTGCGTAAAAGATTGGTGCACAGCAGGGTGGACCCGGTGCGAGCCGGGAATCAGCTATCCCTGCTCGTACAAGGTTGCCCCTGCTGTTCTTCAGCCTTTTTAAGAGCCAGTAGGCCAGGAGCTAACCCTGCTGCAGCTCCCCTGCTTATTGACTAATTGACTGTTGATTAGTTGATTAAGCAAAATTTAACATCCCTATCTTACTCTTTCAAATGAAATGGCAGCTTATGCCCACCTTCTTCCTCAACCAGCCACAAAATAAAGAAGCCCAGCTAACCAGAAGAATAACTCTAATATGTTAAATTAGTCTTGTAAACAAATAATTTATCTATCTGATTATGTGAAGTGGTATCTAGAACATGAAAATGCAATGTATGATTCCCATTGGTTACTATGAAACATGATTTTTTTTTTATTTTAATGGGAAATTCAAATCCAGAGATCCTACTGCAGGTTGAATCTCTCTAGTCTGGCATACATGGGGCTTGGCCGGTGCTAAACCAGAGAATTTGCTGAACCTCGGGAGGTCAGTACTCTCTAGCAGCATTACCAACACTTCCACTGATAACTGGGCTATTAGAAGACATTTAGGGGTTGTCACGGGGCAAGCTCATCCCCAAGGTATCTTCAGTTGGTCACTCTGGGAATTAGCTCTTCAGCCCTGGAGCTGCCCACGGTGCCCTTTTCTCCTAGTACAGTCCTAGGTCAGTGCTCCTGCCCTCTAGAGTCCTCCCTCCCAGAGAACCCCCAAAGCTCTTATACCCACCATGCCTCAGTGATCCACTGACAATCATCATCTATCCCCTGCCTTAGGGGCAAACTGCAGTCTGAAGTGACCGCTCATCATTGGCAAGGGAGTGTGCACCTCCTGCCTTTGCCTATTCTGACTGTTTTCCTGCAGCCTTAGTACCCTCAGGCTCTGCAGCGTGGGAGTGAGGTCAGGCCAGAACTCTGCCTGCCTTTCCCCAGCACTGCTCTGTTTACAGCTCTAGTACCCTCAGGCCATGCCTCAAGCCCTGCAACCTGGGAACAAAGTCAGGCAGGAGCTCCCCAGCTCTGCCTGCCTCTTCCCAGCACTGCTCTGTCTCAGGAGGTCTCCAGCTTCCCCAACAACAATGTCCCTCCTGTTCCCCCAGCTAAACCAAGAGTGTGTTTTTATCTTCCCTTTAGAAGCCCTTATTTATACAACCCCATCTGGGTCCTAATTGGCTGTATCTGCCTCAGCTGCAGATACACTCTCTCAACTTCTGCCAGGGCTGAGTTAACCCTTAAAGGGCCAGTGAGGAGCAGCCGCACAGGGGGTAAATTGCAGTTAAATAACAGCACAGAACAAAAGACAGAATTATGTAGCACTTAAAGACTAACAAGATGGTTTATTAGGTGATGAGCTTTCGTGGGCCAGACCCACTTCCTCAGATCAATATGTGGAAGAAAATCGACACAACCATATATACCAAAGTGATACAATCAAAAAAATGAACGCATGTGAAATTGACAAATCAAATTTTAGAACAGAGTGTGGGTGAGGGGGGAAGGTTAGTGTCTCTGAGGTAATGACATAGGGGTGATAATTGGGGAAGCTATCTTTGTAATGGGTGAGATAATTAGAGTCTTTGTTTAAACCCATACATAAAGTGTCAAATGTAAGCATGAATGACAGTTCCGAAGCTTCTCAGTGAAGTCAGGAGTTAAAGTCTCTTTGAAGCAATATACATGTTTTAAGGTCAGTGAGGGAATGGTCAGTCTGGCTGAAATGGGAGGCAACAGCTTTCTCTCTGTGAGAGAGTCTTATGTCTGTTTTGTGTGCATTGATTCTTTGGCGAAGTGTCTGAGAAGTGTGTCCAATGTACATAGCAGACAGACACTTTAGGCACATGATAGCATAAATTATATTTCTGGATGAACAGGAATATGTTTTCTTGATCTTGTAACTGGCATGGTTAGGTCCAATAATGCTAATTATCTCTCCCATTACAAGGATAGCTTCCCCAATTATCACCCCTAATGTCATTACCTCACAGACACTAACCTTCCCCCTTCACCTCCACTCTGTTCTAAAATTTGATTTGTCAATTTCACTAGTTCATTTTTTGATTGTATCACTTTGGTATATATGGTTGTGCTGATTTTCTTCCACATATTGATCTGAGGAAGTGGGTCTGGCCCACGAAAGCTCATCACCTAACAAACCATCTTGTTAGTCTTTAAAGTGCTACATAGTTCTGTCTTTTGTTTCAGCTACACCAGACTAACACAGCTGCATCTCTAGCACAGAACACTGAGAGCTAGGACTGGGAGCTGTAAATAAACTTCATGGGACCATAGGAAACTTGGCCATTCCCATGATAAGTGGACATCCAGCTAACTAAAAATCACACTGAACCATGGATGTTGCCAGACCAGAAAGTGCTGGACTAAAGAGGTTCAACCTGTATAGTTTGTTTTTTTTTTGCTCTTATGACCCAATCCTGAATTCCCTGAGCATGCTAAATCAAAACCAGTGATGTCAATGGAAGTTATTTCTATTCAAGGAAGGCAATTGATAGGGTTTTCATAGCATAGAGCATCAGAAAGTTCCTGATTGTAATCATTTACTTTGCAATTTTTTTTAATCCTACTGTATTCTTATAGAAATAAGAAATTAGGAAAGCATAACAAAGCATCAAGTCATATTCATCCTCCTTCTTATGGAGGATAAAAATGCCATGTGAGAAAATTGACCTAATAAAAAGAATGGACCTATGTCATCTGAGAAAGTACAAATTGTATGTAGTACCACAGACCACCAATCTCTCTTTGATATCTCATTTATGCTACTGCTATGTGAAAAAATTGGAAAACTAAGCCCAGTCTTTCTCCCATTAAAACAAGGAATTTGCTACTTTTTTGTAGGATTGAGCCTTTAGTTACTGAATTAATAGTCTTTGATCTGACCAAAAACTTTTGTGGGTTATGAATCAAGCCCTAGTGCAAGGGCTGGTGAACCTACAGACCAGGCCACTACTCTTCCCACAGCTCCCATTAGCCGGAAATGTTGAATCATGTCACCTGGGTGGTACAGGGCTCTGTGACTGTGGACACTGAGTAAACAAACCATCTTGCAGCCTGCCAGCAGCTAACTCTGACGAAGCACATGTAGCCTGTGAGCTGGAGGTTCCCCACCTCTGCCTTACTGCTTACAACATCTGCCTAATATGTTGTTTTTACTGTTATTGGGGGAAAATAACAAACTTGTGTTTTCTTTCTCTTTCCAGAGCAAGATGGGGTACTTTGCTTTGCTGCTATGCACAATTCATGCATTGGTATTCGCCTGGAATAAATGGGTTGACGTAAACCAATTTATATGGTACACCCCGCCGACATTTATGATAGCAATTTTTCTTCCTATTTTAGTCCTGCTTTGTAAAAGCATCCTGCTTCTCCCATGCCTGAGGAAGAAGATCCAGAAGATCAGATGTGGTTGGGATGCTAACACAGAAATGAATAAAACACAGATGACTTCCAGACTGTAAATTGAATATGAGTGTTTATCCTGCTGCCATGTATACATGTATACATCCCGGAAAAGGGATGCTAATGTAGCACGTTGGAATAGGCAAATCCGCGGGGGATTTACATATCCCCCGCGGCATTTGCATTAACATGGCTGCCGCTTTTTTCCGGCTTGGGGAAAAGCCGGAGAAAAGCGCCAGTCTAGACGTTATTCTCCGGAAAATAAAGCCTTTTCCGGAGGATTTCTTATTTCTACTTGAAAGATTTTGCATAAGTGTTTGCAGAATTGGCCTTTTACTTTGTATGCAAGGATGATTTTACTTTTCAGCTAGAGTTTTAGAAACTTCTGTCCAAATAGGGTGGAGTGGAAAAAAATGTGAGAGAATAAACAATCCTTTGAATAAATGATCCTTTCAACTGACAATGTCTATTGAAAATGAGAATTTTGTTTAGATTGGATGAGATAATTACTTTTTAAAGTTCTAAATCAATTCTGAATACACATACTCTGCTTTTACTAAGAATTTAAACAAAGCTAATGAATCCTCCCATTCTCTGTGATAGCAGAAGCTGATTGAATGATATTAGTTGAATAATTCACTTGACAAATATCAGAATATTTTTCAAATAAATTATGCCATGACTACTTTTTTCATTAACCCCATCACTGCCACTCTCCTGTTTGCACTCACTAGGTAGCCTAAGACAGGTGCTGATGATGTCAGGCTGCTATTGGGCTCAGTGAAATGAGAGGTGAAATTGCTTCACTGGCCCACACAACAGAAACATGGCATGCACCCAGCAAAATAGTACCAATGGTCTCTAGAAAAATCAGAAACAGGAGAAGATTGAGGATTGATAAAAAGGAACGAATCTAGTATACATTGTACATGGATCTAATGTAGTTTAAAATTGCTGAATTGGAGGAGCTAAGCAAGGCAGAGAAGTACATGGATGAGACTTTCTGGGACTCGATAGAATGATTCCAGTCTCAGTCAGTCAGCTTCTATGCTCTTGAGGATGGTGAAAGACTCAGGGAAGGAAAGCATCCATCTGGAGCAAAGAGAAATTATCCTTCCTTACAGATGATGTGGTATCCTCTTGCACTGAAGATACCTCTCTGGGAGAGGGAACTTATTTGGAAAAGATAGGTGTTAGTAATGGGGGATTGAATCATTAGAAACATAGTGGGGTTTGCAATGACCAGGAGAACTGTATGGTGACTTGCCTGCCTGGTGCAAAGGTTGTGGATCTCTCAAGACATCTAGATAGACTTATATGTAGTGCTGAGGAGGAGCTGGTGATCATGGTACATGTAGGGAACCATAGGGAAGGATAGGAGAGAGTTCTGGAGGGCAAATTTAGGTTTCTAGGAAAGAGATTGAAATTCAGGACCTCAGTGGCAGCATTCTCTGAAATGCTTCCCGTTCCAGGCATAGGGCCAGGTAGATGTGCAGAACTGAAGGGTCTCAATGCATGGATGAGATGATGTAGGGAGGAGGGGTATAGATTTATTAGGAGAAACTTTTAGGAAAGGGGGAGCCCATACAGGAAGGATGGGTTTCACCTAACCAAAATGGAACCAGATTGCTGGCCCTTAAAAAGGTCCTAGAGCAGTTTTTAAACTAAGGGCTGGGGGGAAAGATGACAGGTGTGAACAAGCACATGGACAGTACAGCGCCATCCCTTAGAAAAGGGTCTGTTGTTAGAGATTATATCCTAGTAAAAAGGAGAGAATGGAAGATGATAAAATATGGGTAAAATCAGATGAGAAAGTTAAATAAAAAGAGTCCCATTCAATCACATCAGCTAATGGCAGACAGCTAAATAGTGACAAGTTTTTAAAGTGCTCATATACAAACACTAGAGGTTGAACTGGAGTGCATCGTATTGAATGAGAATATTGATATAATCCATATCACACAAACTTGGTGGAATGAGAATAATCAATGGGACATGGTAATCCCAGGATACAAAATACATTGTAGAATCAAATGAAGTAAAAATCTTAAATGAATCAAACTGTTCCATAGAATCTTTATGGATAGTAATTCCATGCTCTAATAATATGAATATAGCAGTACGGCTATATTACCAACCTGAACAGAATAATGATAATGATTGGAAAATGTTAAAGGAGATTAGAGAGGCTATAAAAATTTTAAAAACTCAGTTGAAATCCCCCATTAATACTATGCCCATATTGACTGGGTACACATCACCTGAGGACAGAATGCAAAAATAAAATTTCTAATTCTTGGAGCAGTTAGTTCTGGAACCCACAAGAGAAGACGCAATTCTTCATTCAGATCTAAGTGCAGTGCAGAATCTGATCCAAGAAATGACTATAGCTGAACTGCTTGGAAACAGTGGCCATAATATAATTAAATGTAACATCCCTATGGTGGGAAGACCACCACAATAGCCCAACACTTTGGCATTTAATTTCAGAAAAATGAACTAGAGGAAAATGAGGAGGTTACTTAAACAAATTAAAAGGTACAGTGCCAAAAATATGGTGGGAAGACCACCACAATAGCCCAACACTTTGGCATTTAATTTCAGAAAAATGAACTAGAGGAAAATGAGGAGGTTACTTAAACAAATTAAAAGGTACAGTGCCAAAAATAAAATCCCTGCAAGCTGCATGGAAACTTTTCAAAGATACCATAATGGAGGTTCAACTTAAATGTATACTCCAAATTAAAAAAACAAAGTAAGAGAACCAAAAAGTGCCACTGTGGCTTAAACACTAAGGCTATGTCTAGACTGGCATGATTTTCCGGAAACGCTTTTAATGGAAAAGTTTTCCGTTAAAAGCATTTTCAAAAAAGAGCGTCTAGATTGGCACGGACTTTTTGCGGAAAAGCGTTCGTGGCCAATCTAGACGCACTTTTCTGCAAAAAAGCCCCGATCGCCATTTTCACTGGCCAGCACTCCTTCTATCTATCACAGAAGGTGTCTCACCACCGAGGCTAGAATAAGTCAGGCCTCTCCAGGAACCTTGTGAGAAGGACCAAAGGATTCCTGTGTGAGAGCATCATGGAGCTGAGTGCTCCAGACTGGCACTCCATGTGCACCCATGTGAACAGGCTGTTGTGTGATCCCCGGGCCGAGTAGGCCGAGAAAGGAATGTGCAGCCTCTGGCAGCCTGTCACCTGCTCTTGCATATAGATAAGGAAAGTTATATAACTCACCTGAAGTGCCCTCCCTGGGCTCCCCTGAAGCCTGGGAGACATCCGGGGGCGGGGGGTTAACTATTTAGAAATTATCATTATTCCTCAAGAAATGCAGGAGTACAGATTTCAAAATAAGCAGCCCATTATTTCGAAATAACAGGCTTAGTAGTGTGGTTGCTCCCCTTATAAATTTGACTTTAGGGGGGTTATTTTGAAATAAAGGTCTAGTGTAGAAAAGAGCTTGATGATTACCTGTTCTGTTCATTCCCTCTGGGACACGTGGCATTGGCCACTGTCAGAAGATAGGAGACTGGACTAGATGGACCTTTGGTCTGACCCAGTATGGCTGTTCTTATATTAATCCATCTGGTATACGTTAATAGCTTTAGCATATATAGGAAAATGAATGGACCAGCTAAGATTGCTCTAGGGACAGTATTTTTTACATTTCTTGTATTTTTTGTAACTGTAGTCTACAACTTTAATCGTGCATTGTTTTTGCTTGGTAATTTGTTGGAACAGTTTTTAAAATGGGGGGACTGAGCTGCACTTTCCTCCCATACCCCTGTCAACACTTCTCACTGTCCGCCGGGCAGCCAAGACTCTGGTGCTAGTGGCAAGGAAGGCCTTTATTCCTGTCCACATCTCCCTCAGGCTCCCTGGAACTGGGGCCAGCAGCTGGGAATCTGAGGATAGTGGCCAGGAGGGACCCTGGGTCAGCAGCCAGGTGAAACCTCATGTATGGGGCTGACATCCAGGATCTTGGGGCTGTCAGTAGAGCCCCAGGGCCAGCAGCGAAGCAGGACCCCAGACTAGCAGTGGAACCCTCCAGCATGGTGCTGATGGCTGAGGAGGACCCAGGCCAGCAGCAGAGTCCTGAGCAGCAATGGGCCTGGCAGCCAGGACCCCAGGTAACAGGGTTTAGCACCAGGATCCTTAGTGGCAGGGGTACTGGGCTGGCAGCCAGGATGTGGGGTGCAAAACCTGGTGTTGCTGCAGCACCCTCACACCCTTACTTCTGTGCATATGGCTTTTATATATTCAAGTTTTAGCTATAAAACCTGCCCAAATTGAATGAGTAGGGCCAAGTTCAGTCTTAGCACAGGTATAAATAGCAGTGTAGACTGAGAGACTCAGCTTAGGTAAGTAGAATGCCCTACATGCCAGACACCCCAGCCTATATACCCTACACCAGTGGTTTTCAAACTACTGGTCATGAGCCAGTACTGGGTCATGGAATGTCAGGCACTGGGTCTCCTTGTTGCAGGGTTATTAGGTGACCAGTGGGGGTGCTAAGGCAGGCTACTTGCTTGTCCTGGCACCACAGACTGTGCTGTGCCCCAGAAGAGCTGGCAGCAGGCCCAGCTACTAGGTTTGGATTGGGAAAGAGCGCACAGGGCTCCACGTGCTGCCCCTGAACTGAGCACTAGCTCCGTACTCCCACTGACTGGGAACTTGCCGCTGGCTTCTTCTGTGGCACAGCATGGTCTGTGGTGCCAGGAGAGGCAGGCAGCACCGCTGCACCACTGACCGGAAGCCGCTTAAGGTAAGTCCCTCCTGCCCCAGCCCTGACCTTCCCCCAAAGCCAGACCCTCTTCTGCAGCCCAAAGCTCTTATCCTCAGCCCTCTCCCTGTAGCTCACACTTTAGTCAAGATATGTTGGGTCACAGGCATCAACAATTTTCTTCAACTGGGTCATAAGAAAAAAAGTTAGAAAATCACTGACCTACACTGACAGGTCCCTACTCACCCAAGCAGTGCCTCCCCTGTCTACTCTGCCATTTGCAGGAGTATAGTATCCTACTCCTTGCTGGAGGAGCCTTGAGGAAGGGGGAAAGGCTCTACAGCAGGAAAGGGAGTTAACAGAGCCTTTCACTGTGGTGTGTAACCACACATATTGTGTCTGCCCTATGTGTAGTCAGACAAGTAACACAGTGCAAGCCCTACAGTGCACTGTGGGACAGAAGGTAGCATTTGATCTTGAATGATTATCAAACATCTTGTGCTCTTTGCAAGGGCAGCCCTGGTTTGTTTCTTATTTAAAAGATTTTGGTTAGCAGCTCTTCACTCATTTTGTCGTTGTGCCACATTCTGGATTAACTGTTCTACAGCTGACAATGGAATCAAAACCTTTGACACAGAGTTGAGATAAACAGCTCTGAGGGTAACCAGGCATTGCAACACAGCTCTGAGCGCAACCTGACCCCTGATTGTTGAAAGCTATGGAGAGGAGATGGATT